TCTGACTACTTGTGATCTCTGTCAAGTAAATAAATTTGAAGAAAAAAAAAAAAGATACATTCGGAGCCTTGCCTCTTTTATAAAATCCTGTCTTTTGTCTCTTTTAATCTATAGATTCCTCTTCTGTCCTTTTTCATTTTCCTACAAAGTATGTGTTGCAGAATCTTTGAACTTGCAGCTTCCCGCAGACCGCATTCCCCCAGGCCACCCTGCACACACACACACACACACACACTGTCTTCAGTCCTCCGTATTCCTGTACAACAGCAGCAGTGTTCAGAGAGTGGTTCAGACTCAGGTTTGGCAAGGCTGTAAGAGGCCCGTGTCTGGTTGTTTCTCCCACTGGGATCTCAGCAGCTGTGGAAGCTTCATGCCCAGGTGTTCAGTGGGGCTGACAACCCGTGCTTTTCTATCACTCTTTTCCCGCTTAGAGTTGAAATACTTTTATTAAGATGCGTTTCTCCTCACCTGTTATTTGGGTGGTCCCTCTGGGTCTATATTTTCAGGTACACGGTATACTTTCAATATGCAGTGTTGACCTTTTTGTTTAAATGGAATGTTTTCTTGAATTTCAGTTTTTAGCGTTTCTTCTTGCTTTAGGGTTCTTCTTCAGGCCTGTTACCTGTGTTTGATCTCCTTTGTGCACCTCAAAGATGGGTCACTTTCTCTCAAATCTTCTTAAGGTGTTTGTTATCTGTTGTATTTAGTCCTTAACGCTGCTTGTGCTCCAGTCTTCATTTCTCTCTCTTTTTTTTAAAGACTTTTCACTTATTCACTTGAGAGAGAGAGTGCATGTGAGTAGGAGCAGGAGGGAGAGTCAGAGGGAGAGGGAGAAGCAGACTCCCTGCTGAGCAGGGAGCCCAGCCCGGGGCTCAATCCCAGGACCCTGGGATCATGACTTGAGCCGAAGGCAGACGCTTAACCGACTGAGCCAGCCAGGCACCCTGTCTTCATTTCTCAAATAATTTCTCATTTTCTTAATTCTTCATTCCATTTTCAATTTATGCAACTTTCTCATGTCTTCTTTCATGTGCTTAGTGTATTTGCATTTTTAAATATGTTATGGTTTTGGTCTCTAACCTCGTCTCCCTGGTGTGCTTCCATTGTCTCTAGGGATGCTATTGTGCTTCCTCTTGGTCCCTTTTCTGTTCATAACTTTGGATGGAATTTGGCCTTAATACTTTTCTATTGCTTATTTGATTGTGAAATGATCCTTCCTGGCTTTTTGGATTAAGGCTATGTTCAGAAAAGATTTTTCAACCTTCACAGAGCCCTCTCTTCTGTGGCTTTTGTGTGGAGTTTAAAAATAAAGCAGCTTGCTTTCTGGGACTGGCTCTGTCCTTACCCTTTCTTGGGGCTGGGCCATCTTTCTTTCCTTGTCTTCAAATTCTTGTAGTGTCTTACATGTTCCCACACTGCCTACAAAGACTCTCAAGAGGAATAGTCTCCCCTTTGTCTCTGTCCTGCTCAATTCTTCTTTTAGTCCCAGGTGTTTTCCCCAGTGTGGAGTCCTGTCCTAGAAGAAAGCAGGCAGTCTCATGACCTTATAAGGGCTGCCTTGCTCCAGCCCTTACAGGTGCTCTTCCAGCAGGCCCTCGCATGAACCCACTTTTGGGAGAGGAAAAAACTTCTCTCAGCTTCAGCCAACATTTTTAGATGGGCTGCCCCTCTTCAGTGATCATCTGTTGCCTATCTTGGGTTCTCCTGTTCTCACATCCATCATACACTACCTCATTCCTTCCTATTCCTCCTGCGCAAATGCTGTTCTCATGGCAGTTTTTTGTTTGCCCCACCTGCTTATATTTCAGGACTCATGGGGTTACCTTGTAACCTTCTTCCAAGTATTGTCTGGATTTTTAGTTTTGCTACTGAGGGTTTTGGTTTTTTTTATGGACAGATCTGAAGAGATTGAAAAAATAGGTCTCCACCAACAACCTGCTCTTTTTCTGTTGAATTTCAGTTGTTTAATGATTTTGTCTCCAAATTCTAGCACTGTCTTATGTGTTCCTGTATTGACTATGGAGACCCCCAGGAGTAATACAATCCAGTCAACCACAAATATCCTACAGCCGGCTTACAAAGGCTGGTAACTTACAGGGTATCTGGATCTAGAATCATCTTAGTTTGGGAAGTCTCTGGAAAGTTACTTCCTCTGGGAAACCATGGTTACCACCCTTAAGTAGAGCTTCTCCCTTACTTGTACTTCCTTCATTATACCTCTTGGGTTTTGTGTGTATGCCACCCCAGAGAACTTAGAGCTCCAGGAAGCAGGGACCATACACATTTCATCTCTGCATCCCCAGGCCCTAGCACAATGTCTGGTATGGGGACTTCATAAATACTTCCTGAGAGAAGAAATTTGAGCTAAATGATGCTTACAGCTGTATTACATAACTTAAAACATTTAAAAAATTATTCTTAAAAATAATTCAGACTCATCATAGAAAACTTAAACATTTTTTTTAAAAAGCATATAGAAAAAATTTACCTATAATATCATCCCCAAGAGAGAACCACTATTAATTACCCTTTGGTGTATTCCATTTTGTTCTTCTGCATATTTAAGCTATTTAGTTGAAATAATGTTGTAGGCCATTTTAACCCCATTTTTCAGGTATATTTTTGCATTTCCCCCGTGTATTATTCTTCCTAGCGCTATTCAATAGCTGCATATTATTCCAGTGTGTGATAAAAGCAATTTCAGTACAAAATTAAAGGCACTTCAATAAAGATGAGCTTACACAGACTTCCTGCCGATATCTTGACATAAGCTGCCCTATAATAACTGGAAATGAGTATAAGGCAACTCCCGTTTTAGAACCCATTCAGAGAAGCTTAAGGGCAAAAAAATTAATAGAATTAATGTAGTCGACTCATGGCCAGGTGCTATTCCCATAAATTCCAGTAGGTGGCAGAACAGGTTAGCTAACGGTGGTTCTCAGCCTCCATGGGCACTGTCACCTGCCAGGCTCCTGCCAGCGATTCTGAGTAAATAGCCTCGGCGTGGCCCAGTCATTTGCATTTCTGATAAGTCCCAGGTAATTCTGATACGCTGGAAGGAAACACACTGTGAGAACTCTGAATTACAGGAAGTCAATGTAGATCAATCCAAAGCGCATTCACCCACACACCCATGCATGCCCATGTTGTTTACTTTCCACTGGTTCTATGAGGACAGGAGAGAGTAAGAGATTTCCTTTCTCCAGACATAGTCTTGTGAAAGGGGTGGGGGGTAGGAGAGAGGAGGAATGAGGAAAATAATGCTCTGTTTGTTACTTGTACCTCCTCCGTGTTTTTCTTCCTGACATGCAGCCTTCATGAATGTTTGTTTTCCCGATCCTGTCTCCAAAGAGAGTTCGAGCTTTGTGCCCTTAAAGCCTGAATGACCAACTAGTTCAGGAGTCACCTCACACGGCTGAGTGTGCTCAACACCAAACTCAGTATGTCTGTTCTCCTAAAATTCTGAGATGAAAACTCTCCTCTCTGAACCCACCAACGCCTGAGATATAAAAGCACAGCGGATCACCTCTTCCCTGACTCTGCATGAGCAAAAACAACACATTGGTATGACTATGTTCTTGGTATCTGCACTTGACTGCCTCTTGGATTAATTCCCCCATTTTAAATTTCAAACATATTATGGTTAATTTTGGAAGAAAAACTTGGCTCGTGAGTGTCCCTATTTTCCTTTAAATACTACTGATCACCTGTGATACATCCTCATTAGTAAAGAATAAAATTAAAAATACAGTTTGACTATATAACCAGTACTGTTGATTAGCTCTCTTCTGCAGTTCTGGGTCTTACTAGACCTACTTTAAGAGACAATGCAGGGGGACGCCTGGGTGGCTCAGTGGGTTAAAGCCTCTGCCTTCGGCTCAGGTCATGATCCCAGGGTCCTGGGATCGAGCCCCGCATCGGGCTCTCTGCTCCGTAGGGAGCCTGCTTCCTCCCCTCTCTCTCTGCCCGCCTCTCTGCCTACTTGTGATCTCTGTCAAATAAATAAAATCTTTAAAAAAAAAAAAAGAGACAATGCAAGGGTGCCTGGGTGGCTCAGTTGGTTAAGCATCTGCCTTCCGCTCGGGTCATGATCTCAGGATCCTGGGATTGAGCCCCACGTCGGGCTCCTGGCTCAGTGGGGAGCCTGCTTCTCCCTCTGCCTGCAGCTTCCCCTGCTTATACTCTCTTCTCTGTCAAATATATAAATGAAATCTTAAAAAAAAAAGAGAGAGAGAGAGATACAATGCATATTTGTGACCTATCACATTAATTACTGGAATGTTAATAGTGATTGTTGATAGGTTTGCTTTCAACACATGCCTTGGGATTAATTATTATTTCTAAATTAGTGATGCCTAGATTAGTGAAATTTTATTTGTGACCTTAATTCATCTTAAACAATGTTGTCCAAGTATTTGAAAATGTAATAAAAGTAAATGGGTGAAAGATGAAGAAAGAATTAAAAAGAAGTACAAATAATCACACAGAGTAAAAAAATCTGTTTTCTGTCTTCACATAGACAAGAAATGTCAATTAAAGCAACCTTGAGATGCCCTCTTTACATAAACTAAATTGGCAAACATATTCAAAATAACCACTCAATCTTCCCATTAAACTAACTGCTACCATAAGGAATGACTTCATAAAATTCTGCAAACTATGTAAGTTACATCAATATAAAAGAAAATAATGGCAATACATCTGTGATGTTTTCCAGTCAACATCAGAATTACAGGTAAATACTGTTAAATTCTTTGTCCAACAACAAGAGTTCATTCATTTGGACAGTGTGATTTATGATTTATTTTTTTAACCAAATACCTCCTCAGTAATTTATAGTGGTTTTGCAGTAATCAGCACTGGAAAACGGATACACATTTCAGGTGGCATGAAAAGCCACACTGATGGATGTTTAAAAAACACTCAAAACTGATGGTGTTGTGGTGAAACATTGTATTTAATCCAGCAAGGTGATAAAGTAAATCCCTTTGGAAAGCCATATGATAATTATGATACAAAGGCCATGAAATGTTCCTTCCCACATTGAGGAAGTTTCTGGGGAGCCAGAAATGATCCTTCTTGACTGTGACAGTCCTTAGGTGTTTGCTTTGTAACTGTTCAATAAACTGCGTGCTTTATGCACTCTTCCCTGTCAGTGACAAAAGTGTTAAGAAAGAATTCTCTGCTTTTACCTGTGAGTCTTCTACTGGGAACTTATTCTAAGAAAATATGCACAAAGAAGTCCTCTGTACCATTGTCTAAAAGCAAAACTGGCAGGTACCTAATCACCCACCAAAATAGGAACAGCTTAGCAAATTATGATAATAAAAGAATATTACAAAGTATTATGGTAACTGAAAAGAGAGCACATTTTTGACAGCACAATAAAACACAAAGATTTGTTACCATATAAATCAATACTTAGGTGCATAAGGATTAGAATATTAAAAATTGTTACGATATAGGAGCTCTGGGGAATTTTCTCTATAAATCTTATTGTTAGATGATCTTTACCACAATGAAAGCAGAACATGTGGTTCAAATGCAAAGAACAGGTACATCCCACTGGTAAAGACTACTCATGTCTAATCAGAGTGATCATCAAACATTGTGCCCAAATGTTCTCAGAACAATTTAGATGTTTATATGATATCCAGAACAGGGGAATCTAGGAGGAAGAGCTGTGCGTCACTGGTCTTTCATTTTGCTTCAGGGTTCGGATACTCGAAAGTTATTTTTCTTCCAGTTAATGTAGCCCCTAAGATGATCCATGGAACTTACTAAAATAACTTCCCAAGAACCTACGGAGCATCATGTAATGATTCAACCTTAAACAGTGTTGCTGGGGAGGTAAGGTGTTCACCTGAATTTTGAAAAGTTTATGGATCAAAGGTGAAAGTTGATGGTTTGCCATCTGGAAAAGGTACAACGTGATGAACTGCCAACAGACTGCACACCTAACTACCTCAGGCAAAAATGTTGAGTCAGGCTGAGTGGGCAATGTTGGTCAACAGAGGCTTGAAAGCCAATGGGAGGTCAATGGGATCCTAAAGTCTGGCTCTAGAAGTGGTAACAAGGAACTTGGGGGCTTTTCCATGAGGATGGGAGGAGACCCAAAGAGCAAAGTCAGGAAAAGAAAGAGCAAGAACTGTTTAAAGAGATGAGTTGGAACTCAGTTACGGATAGGTTAATAAATCTAGACATAACCTGTTGATAATAGAAGTCACTGCAGTTGTTTCAACAGAGGGGCCACGCACTCAAAGGAGTGGCTGGCGAGATGCCCTAGAGGCAGGTGCCAACAGCTTAAAAGACACACACAAGTGGCCAAGGGGGAGGGGAACTGTCCAGGTTTGGGTGGAAAGAGACTTGAAGTAGGCAGAGAATGGGAAGGGAAACAAGGATTGGGGGTGGTAACTGAGGATCTGAGTCTGTGGAGGCTAAAACTCTGGGCCCCAACCTCATCACTCACTATTCTTCTAAGCAACTGGCCATTTTCCAAGCCTCAATCTGCTCCTCTGTATAACAGAAGTGACAATCTGCCTACGACGGTACTGTTGGGGATCAAAGGTACAGGACCATGCTTGGTGAACACCAAGGAGCCCTACAAATTTAAATTACGAATCAACCAACTAGGGGATTGAGTAGAGGAGGCAGGAAGACAATCCCCAAATCTGGAACCTGCATTAATGGCACTCCTCCCCTTGCCCCTGCCCAATTTGCATCTACTCATGGGGGTCGCCAGAATCCTTTCCTTGCATCTGACTTTTCAGTGTACTGTTTTCCTCTTGGATCTCATTCAGAAATTGTTATGAAGTTGGGTTTACATTCTAGAGCACGCAGGAACAGTAAAGGCACAGAGCTGCTTCAGCTCACACGAGAGGCAGTTCCACTTCTAAAAACACATTCTAAAACGCCACTGCTCTCGCAAAGTCCCATCCGAATTCACTGGGGAAAGAAGGTGAGAAAATAGTCTTCACTACAGAATCTATTTTTAAGGAAATGCAGCTTTATTACTTTCAAGTACAAACAATAACTTGGACTTGACTAACCAAATGTTGCCTAATTGAGAGAACCTGCCTTAATGTGTAGATATCAATGATTTATAGTTAGCACAATCACCCATGGTAGAAGAACGCTTCTGTGATGCATGAAAATAACTTCTCATTTTATAGAGACATCTTGTCCCACATTTGCTCTACTATCTTAGGCACTCCCTTCTCCCCACACGCCCCAGACACTTCAGATAAACTTTACCTCTTTCCCAAATCACAACATACATCAAATTAGTTAAACGTTAAGCTGAGACGTGTTTACCACATTGCCATAGACGCTGGATTGGTGAGACCAGCCTTTCTCAACCTGAGTGTTCTCCTCAAGAGCACTAAGTCTAAATTAGTGAAATTCGTCTGTTCGCAATGTGAACCGAGGGAACACAGAATAACTGTGAGCTTCGTCATCTGAACTCATGATTTTCCGGGTTTAAATATGCAAAAACATTTTAATCTGAGCACATTCATGAAGAGCAGAAGTAGCTGGGTTCTTTAAGCTGTAATAATCCAGTGGGGTCTCACTCTTCAGGACTGTGATACGGATTTGAAGCAACCACAGTTCCGTGCTGTAGGGAAGACTGGAAACACACTGAAACCGCCTGACCGCAAACGTCCATCTGCACTGAGCATGTCCATTCCGCCTGACCAGTGAGTCGTGCAAAGACTATCCAGGACTCCACTAGAGGATTTATTATGGGAAAAACCTTCACTTTCCTAGAGTAGTCACAAACAAGGGACCCTGTGATCAGACACTGCCAGAGATGGCTAGTGGGCATTTCTATCAAAAATGCTAACCTGCTCTTTCCATCAGACACTCTAGCTGGGGACTGCATAATTCTCAAGACAGGCTTGGTGGTCTTAAAAATATCTTAGCAAGCACCAGCATAACCAGGTAGGAAGGCTGCGTCAATGGGACAGACCTAAAGAGTTTCTCCCCTACCCCGACGAACTCTGTCCCTACAGGCAAAGGTGACCGTATGCCCTGCCCCAGACTGCATCCTAGAACAGTGATCTGATTCTGCACACTTCCCTACTGAGAAAGGCACTTGCAGGCCACCTCGGCCCACAAGAGGAGGAGGCCCAGAGACTGGTAGAATGATGATGGAAGGTTCACCGCGAGGTTCCCAAGAAGCCAGGGCACACAGCCACAGCTGCAGGGAGCTGGCTGGGTTTGGCCAAGGCAATGTTGTAAAGCCCAGCTCCACCATCGTTAGCTACTTCTGCTAGGTCAAAATGCCTAACAAACAACTTCTTCATGTCTAAAATAATACTGTTTCCAAAAATATTTCTTTTCCCCCTGTTTTCTCAAATGCAGAGCAATAATCACTCTCCTGAGAACAAACACTAGAGTGATTACACAATCCTCATTCATAATTTAGTAAGTGTCTGTAGTGGCCAGAATGGTCTTTTTTTAACCATGAAAAATGAAGTACAATCCTTAAAATTTAATAGCAACAGTCCCCTACCTTCCACTTATGAAAGAAAAGCTATCCAAAGCTATGTACCTTCCTGTGGAACTTTTCAACATCTAACCCCACCCCTGAAAAGAAGTCTTTCTTCCTATTTCACCCATAGGTCTAAAGGTCAGCTCAGGGCCAGTTTTGACAAGTTTGACTTGTTACTTCAAATAATGGGGCTGGAGGAAATTACCACCCTTTGGAATGTGAAAATGTCCCACTCACTCAGCTCTCCTAGACCCCCACCCTCACCCCGGAGCCTGAAGTTGTTTCTCTGCCCTTTATGCACCTGAGAGGAGAGGGGCCCTTCGCTTCTACCACAACAACTTCACTCAAGAAATCCAACGCTCATCAAAAAAGGATGGGGTCTCTTCTGCTCATGACTTACGAATATTTCAGAAATGAAAATATTCACCAAAAAAGAGTAAAAGGCAATTTCCTCCCCTCTGAGCTAAGGAAGGGCAGCCCCCTCACGCAATGCAAGGGGACTACGCCACTCCAGCTTTGGCTCTCCCCTACTCACTTCTCTCACTGACCCTCCACTTGGCTTTATTCTTTAAAGGATGCATTAGTTTTTCATTTTTATAAAAGCTGGCACTTGTATGAATAAACCCAGCATCTCTCAAGCTTTTAAATAAAATGCCCAGGTGAAATGAAGGCCTCTGTGGGGAGGAAATCAAAGTTAGGTCTCCAGCCACTGCCTCCAGTACCGCTGTTAACATCAGCCGTACCATGCTACCACCCAGAGGGGAACTTCAGTGTCCACCGAAAACTGAAATGGGACATGTCATACAAGTTCCAGGTTTGTCATTTAAAAAAAAAAAAAAAAATTCCCACAAATAACTATAACTTGCCTTGTGAAATGCTGGATGTATCTGGAGGTGAGGTGGGAATAGGGATGGTCATCAGATCAGTGATCTCAGAGATCTGTTCAGGTCAGAGGTAGAGGAAAAAGGCATTCACCCTCCTCCTTGCCCCACATCTCTGGAGGCTCCTCCAAAATGGACTCCAGCCGCAATTCCTGGTCCATTTCTTGAGAAGCCCAAGCGGAGCTCAGGCACACAACTGAGTGTGAGATGGACTTCAGGGATGGAGAAGATACTATATTCTTTTGCCTAATCTCCTTAGAGTCTACAGGAATATGAAGTACACCTGTCCTTGAAACCGAACACCGATTCTCTAGAGTCTTAACTCCACGGCATTCAGAGGTCCCGCCAGGCTCCGCGCTACTGCGGATTCTGGAACAGCAGGGTCCCCACAAGGCTTGGCTTCCTTCTCAGCTTTGCCAACAAACCCTCTGCCCACCTGTGAAGCGGATAAGCTTTATATCCACGCCAGCAAGAATGAGTCACCCATACCCCCAGGCAGAGGCTACAATTGAGGTTCCAGTTTGTGTGTCCATCTTCAAACTACTTCCTGCTGGTGTGCGGATGAAATAAGCCCCCTGACTACCTGTAACACAATGGGAAACAGCTGAATTGTCCTGGGGCTGGCTCCCTCTACTCTCCCCCTCATGTTTGTGACAATTATGTTAAAACATTCCCACTCCCGATCCCAGAGTTACCTAACTTTACAAGAGTGGAAGATACAAACTCGCAGCTCGTAGACATACTTTGTTTAGCTCACTGTATTTTAAACTTTCCTCAATTAGCTGACAACATTGTACAGATCAGGAGATTTCAAATAAAAATCTGGATTTCCACTTCCTCCTGAAGAAAATCACAAGACCTGCCTCCACTGGGCTCACTTCTACCTAACACTTAGAGCTGAGTAACTTCCCCATTAGATAAGCTTTCCATGATTCAGCACAACCCTGTCCAGCACACTCCAATCATTTACATCATGTACATGGCTGCCACGGGCACTGGCGTTTGTGAACCCCAATCTAGGGCAATTCCTTCATTTTAAAGATGAAGAAAATGAGGGTCGAGGGATAAAAAGTTAATCTGCCTAAAGCCACACATCAGGTTAGAGGCAAAGGAACAAGAAAAGTCAGGTTCAGGTGTCGAAGACTGCCCATTCTGTCTAAAGAACCACAATCCCCCTCAGCATTTCATCCAGTTGCTAACATTTTCTAGGTAAAATCTGTTATATTTTCTACATTCCTCCTTTATCCATCCTTTTCATATACCTGGTTTCCTTATAGATAATAACTTTGTACCAATGATTTCATTTAAATATCTTCGACCTAAATGAAACAATGAATCAGACAAAACTGAAATACCAACTCGTGCCCACACCTCAGCAGACACAGGACCAAAACCTTAGAAATCATTCAGCTTAACAAACATGGCTACACAGACAGGGAAAATGGGGCCTAGGGAAGTGATACACTGAGGCCACACGGATGCTAGGTAATAGAGCTGGTCTTCAACCTTCCCGCTCAGTGCTCTTTCTACTGTATCCCATCACCTCTGTGCACTCACCCAGGTGGTAGGGATCGAGGACCAGCTTGATCCACATGAGAACAAAAACTCCAGAACTCCCTTACACCTCAGACATAGCCAACCTTGACTCTGCCAAGTGCTAGAGTTTAGAATGTGTTGTGAACAATCAATTTGTAGAACTTGATTTGCCCTGGAAGACAGACTTTCTTTAGAACTGGTATTTGGTGAAGAGTTTTTGAATGTCACAGGACTCAGCGGTCTTTATAACACTGGTGGTTATAAAAGCTAAGCCCCACGTGAGAGAAGTTGCTGGAACAACATCATAGCACCTTTGCTTCAACTTCAAAAGGAAAAAAAGGCGATAATAAGAAGCTTTAATAGACTGTGTTTTTATAGGCAACCAATTAGCAGATTAATGAACCATTTAACCTTCTTTACTAAAAACGAATATTCAAGAAAGATGAATCCCAAATGCATCCTCTTATACTGACCAACGTAACTAAGTACAAATGAAGTCATTAGCATGCTGTGCTGTGTGTCAAGAAAACAAGCCCTCCCCCGCCCCGAGCCCTGGCCCCCTGGCAAACACAGATAAATGATTGTGCACTGCGCGATGATACCGTTAGGTGAGAACTTTGGTTCATGCAGTCGGCTGCCAGAAAGGTTGCACTGAAAACCCGCAGCCCTGGCACCCAAAGTCAGTCAGCGGTGGTCAGCTCGTGGCGTCAGCCGTGCTCCTTCCACAACACCAGGTGAATACTGTGGTCAGGCATGCTGGTGGCAAACACCAAGCCCGTGTCATTGTGCCCATCCAATCCATTGAGCCAGGACGCTTCGCCTGCCAGGAAGCTCGAGCCTCTCTTTGATTTCCGGTACTCTGGCAAGGGCCAGCGGCTAATCAGGCTCTCTGTCCGCAAGTCCATGATGTACAGGTAGCGGTTGTCAAACAGCAGGGCAAAGATATCTCCAAAGCCAAGTAAGGCCAAGTTTGCTATCTCAGGAGTCTTGATGACCCTACAAAGACAAGAGTTAGGAGACATGAAACAGAAGGCAATATTACTTCTGTTTCTGCCGCTGTAATCTTTTCTGGAGACACAGAAAAACAATGCAAAATTCAAGAAAATTTAGAGAGTTAAATGAAAGTTTTGCATAAAAAAGAAGAGACAAAACACTGAGCTTCCTTAAGAAAGGGCGGGAGAAGAACCCTTCACAATGACATGGTAACATAGGCATGTAAGGGGAAAGGCAGCATCTGATGAACATTTATGGAAGCACAAAATGCCCATCCAGATTATCTCACTTAACATCTCATTTCCAAGATGTGAAAACTGAAGTCTAGTTGAAGTACATACTTTGCCTAAGAATTCATAACTGGTCAGTTACCAGTAAGAACTGGGGTGCAATCGCTCTTACGACTAGGTAAAAAGATGGATTCATCAAATCCTAGAATACTATCAGCTTCTTAAAGCCTAGAATAAAGACTGGAAACCAAGGGACTCACGTGCTACTCTATTCAGCAGGTAGCAAACTATAAAAACAGTAGAGGCTGAAAGATTAAAGTTTTCCTAAATAATCCAGAAACATTAATAATAAATGCTTCAGAAGTTGTTAGAGATAACTCAGGGAGTGGGAGGACAGACAGCCTTCACCTTCCCCAAATGCTGACGACGGAGGCACAGAGTGGGAGCGATCCAGCCAAACAGCAGCATAAATGAAAAACAAAAAAGCATAGTCTGTTGTCTACACACCTGAGTCTTCTGTGAGCGCGCTTAGATAACTTGGAGGCACTAAGGAAAGAGCTATGAGAGAGGGATATGCAAATTCTGCTCTGGGAAAATAGGTTTGGGCCCCCTGAGAGGTCAATTAACTTGAGTGTCAACAAGGACACTACTGTCCAAGAGGTCAACCAGAAAGGGCAGGGCCTGGTAACCAGGACAAATAAGGAACAGGTGAAGGAGATCAGCTGAGAGGGAGAGAAACAGCATTTGCAGGGACAGGGAAACTATAGCTGATCACCACCTGTAAATACGAAATGAAGGATGTGTGAGGCCAGACATGATGAGCTCTAGAAGAGAGAACTAGGTCCAAGGCAGAGAGTTACAGCAAAGCAGATTTCACCTGACATTGGGAAGGGAAAGGGATTTTGTCATGAAGAAGATCTGTCCCTCCCTCACTCTGTCCCAAACCGAACTTGCTGGCCAAACCTGTTTCTCCTTCTTACTTCCTGGCTTGCTCCTTCACCCAGTTACTCAAGCTGGGAAACATGGCAACCATCCAACTCTCCTCCTTATTCAAGCCACAAATTCAATCACCACCATCTATCCATTTTACCTCTTAAATTCTCTCCTACTTTATTCACTATTATCTAAATTGCCACGACTCTGATCCAAGATGTCATCTTTTGCCTGCACGGCTGCCGACAATTCCAATTGGTCTCACCACATCTACTCTTGGCCCCTTTCAATCATTTAATCTCACCTTAAAAATCTAATCCTATTACCACCTCATTTAACTTTAAACCCTTTGAGGGCTCTCTACTACTCGCGCATCTCCAGCACTAGGCTCCTTCAGTCTTAGGGCCTTTGAACAGACTGGTTTCTTGGTCTCCAATGCTCCTTACTGCATGCCCACTGCCAGTTAATGCAGATACTCGTCCTTCAGAGCTAAGCCCAAACCTCTTCTTCAAAGAAGCTTTCCCTTATTCCTCAGCTACGTGGGGTCTTGAAATACTTATTCCACACAGTGTGGCCCTTAGCCCAACCATGAAAACATCTCTAGGTAATTAGCTATTTAATATCAATCCTCCCTCCTGTGGGTTAGTAATTTCCACCAGTGTGGTGAGTATTTCTGCAGGCTCCCAGTGTAGATCCCGATGCCTAAAACATAGGCAGTGCTCAGTAACTACCTGCAGCACATAATGAATGCAGCCGTAATGCAATGAACACAGGCAAATGAAAATGCCTACAAAGCAAATCCAAAGGAAACTGGGAAAACAGCAAGAAAGTCTAGTAAGCCCCACATCACCAATGCAAAGCAGGAAATAACCGGAAACTTAGATAACTGGGTGGCTGGGGATAGGAGCGCCGACTCCAAAGACTGAAGCACATGTATGTGGCAGAGAATGCAGGTCCTGACAGGCTCGCAACCCCTTTAACTCTGATTACTTTAGAACTGTAAACAGACATCCCTGCCCTGTAGTCTGGGCCCTTGAACTTAAATAACCCCGCTTGCTGTACTAAGAGAACTCAGCTCCAGAGATTGCGTCATAGTATAGATTTATTGAGCAACATGCTACCATTTGTGCTTTGCTTCTTCTCAGTTAGCTTCAAAGCATAAGCAGCCCGATCTGACCTTAGCAACTGAGGCCAAAGGAGTTGCACTAAGATTTCAAAAGAGGCCGGTTTATTTGTGTTGTGGCAGGTGGGGAGGAGGCAAGAGATAAAACGGCCCACCTTCCAAGAAATCTGAATCTAACACTTCTTAGTGGCAAACAATCCTGCAGCTTTATTGCTCAGAGCTAGTGTATCCGAATCCCCAAATTAACACAACTTTCATCTGGGCCTCTGGACTCTGTACATGCCACTCAGAGTGCGAAAAATACATACATGAGAAAGGCAGATGCAGGATCAAATTAAAACCCTTAGAAACTCAAAGCATTAAAAAGATGATGATACCTCTATTCCACCCTACTTCTCCATCCAAGTCTTAATTGAAAACAAAAACAACACAGCATGCCTGGGTGGCTCAGTGGTTAAGTGTTTGCCTTCGGCTCAGGTCACGATCCTGGAGTCCTAGAATCAAGCTCTGCATCAGGCACACTGCTCAAGCAGGAGTCTGCTTCTCCCTCTCCCCCTCGCCCAGCTCATGCTCTCTCTCTCTAATAAATAAAATCTTTAAAAACAAAAATAATACTAAACTGTAAAAGATCTGATTTTCCCACAGTGACTACTTGGATTTGAAGTTCCTTCAAAAGTTCCTTCTCTCTGGCTTGCTGGTACTTTAAGCATATGCCTGCTAGATGATGCCAGGATGGTGGACAGACAGACAGACAGACGGTGGATGGATGGATGGATGGATGGAGGACTAGGGTGAGCTGTGGGATGCTGGGCAAGGCCCATACCCACTCTTGGCTTCATTTTCCCCATCTATAGAATGAAATACTTGGACTAATGTTCTCTGGGACCTGTTCAGTCTTTTTTTCTCGAAGCGTAATTATCAATCATTTCTAGAAATGATTCTGACAGTTTGGAATCCTAATTGGTTAGAAATGTAAGTCTGATTCCAGGAAGATATAAAAGGGGTTATAATTGTATGACCACAGAGGCAGGGCCTGCCAAAGTCCTGCTGGCTAGTATGACAGATCCCATATAGCTGACCTCAAAAAGTCACGCATAAAAACAATGACGAGAACGTTCAATTTTCTGTACTACTCCAAGTCAGCGTTTTCTGAACCACGCCGCAGAACACTAATTCTGGGAACTGGTAATAGGTGTTCCTTAAAAGAAAGGTTCTGTGTACAGTGAGTATGAGGCACAGTAGGTTAAACGAGCTCAAGCGGGCTTCTTCATGCAGGACTTCTCAGAGCTGCCAGTAATACTGACCCGTCAGGTCCTGTGCTTGGTCCTCACAGGCAGTTTATCTGATCTTCACTTTCCAGATCAGGAAACTGATCTGAAAGGTTAACTGAAACGTTAAGAAACTTGTATAAAATCCTCCAACTTACAGGAGGTGATGCTGGGTTTTAAATCAAGGATTATCACCAAAATAATTTCTCTCTCTTTTTGTAGAGAGAGAGAAAGAGAGCATGTATGCCTGGGGCAGGGGTGGGGGTGTGTGTAGGGGTAGAGGGAAAGGGGGAGAGAATCCCCAAGCAGGCCCCATACACAGAATGGAGTCTGACCTGGGACTTGATCTCACAACCCTGAGATCATGACTTGAGCCAAAATCAAGAGCTGGGATGCTTAACCAACTGAGCCACCCTGGTGTCCCACCAAAGTGTTCTCTTAGTCACCATAGAGCACCAGCTTCCATTAGCCTCCAACATGCTTACAGATACCATCAATCTCCAAGAAGGGTCTAAGGTATGCAGTAAATCACAAAATTATTTGGCCATGGTCCTCTTCTTATTTATTTCTTTGGAGAGAAATCGTGTAAGTTTTATTTTTCTTTAAATACCTCTGTCTTTCTACTAGTCAACAGAAGGCCACTTGATCCCTCAATGCAGAATTCCACTGAAGAGGAAGCAGAACTTAACATATCAGAACCAGATGGACACATGAAAAGATGTACAACATCACTCATCGTCAGGGAAATGCAAACCAAAACCATGATAGGAGTGCCTGGGTGGGTCAGTGCATTAAGCATCTGCCTTTAACTCAGGTCACGATCCCAGGGTCCTGAGATCGACTCCTGCATTGGGCTCCCTGCTCAGCGGGGAGTCTGCTTCTCTCTCCCTGCTCATGCTCACTTGTTGTCTCTCAAATAAATAAAATCTAAAGCAAAAACAAAAAACCATGATGAGGTATCACCTTGTACCTGTCAGAATGGCTAAAATCAAAAACACAAGAAATAACAAGAGTTGACAAGGATGTGGAGAAAAAGGAACCCTCCTGCACTGCTGGTGGGAATGCAAACTGGTGCAGCCATTGTGGAAAATAGTATGGAGGTTCCTCAGAAAGTTAAAAATACAGAAGTACCTTACAATCCAGTAACTGCACTACTAGGTATTTACCCAAAGAATAGGAAACACTAATTCAAAGGGATACACGCATCCTGATGTTTTACTGCAGCAGTTATTAACAAGAGCCAAGATATGGAGGCAGCCCAAGTGTCCATCAACAGATGAATAAAGATGTGGTGTATGTATGTATGTATGTATGTACAGTGTATGCTGAATCACTATATCATACACCTGACACTAATATAACACTACAGTGGTAACTATACTGGAATTAAAATAAAATAAATATATCATTATTTTACTAAATACACATTATCTGTCTAAAACCTTAAAAAAAATTTTTTTTTAATGTATCAGAACTAGGGACCTGGAAGATCTCTTCATCCAAACCCCTCGTTTTCCTGAAAAGCACTTTTGTTTGTTTGCTTGTTTGTTTTGGTGGGCAGCAAAGTTTATTGAGGGCTAGTATCAAGCTAACACACAAGACAGTTGCCCAGCAGGTTTAATTCTGAAAGGGGAAGTGACATAGTAAGGGGACAGATCAAAACTTAGATCTTCTAGACTCTAGCATAAAACTCTATAATAACTGCCTCTAAAATATTTTTTATGTGTGTGATTTTCAGCATATAACTCTGTTTATGACATGTCCCAGATTCAAGCTACTGACTGGTTCATCCAATATTTAGTTTTGTCTTTAATATTAAACCACAACAAAAAGATAAATGGGAATAGACTGTCAAAGGGAAGGCTCAGAAAAACATTACCTGAGAATATCATAACTGGCGAAGTCCCACTGGTAGAGACCCAGTGCCGAACTACAGACAATGTATTTGCCATCGAAATGAAGTCTTGGCTGCAGACAGATACTTCTATCCTCGGAGACAGACAATGTCTTCAAGCACTTGCAGTTGATTTCTCTCCCAATTGGCCAAATCTACAGATAAAAGAAAACAAGGAACAATGACAGATCACATCACCATAGAAAAACCTGTCTTTAAACAATGTGATTTGCATTTGCCAAAGCCAGATAGAAAGTGAAGTAAATCGGAAAGACCACAGGTTTTATAGCTCAAGCTCTGATAGTACATGTATGTACTGTGTGCCCTTGGGTAAAATACTTAACCTCTCTGAACCTCAGTTCCCACAATGAAGATACCTACCGCTGGAATGGTTTAAAAAATGCAGTAAGAACAGATATGAGAGTGCTCCGTAAACTTTTTGCAAATTGTTTTTTTTTTTTTAAACACAAGTAGATTTTTATGTTTTCATAGTTTAGATCTAAGAATTAAAAGGGTATGAGATATGGGTCTTAAGAAAACAGAATGTGAAGATAAATTTCTGTGGATCTTTTTTTTCTTCATTTACAAATCAGGAGTAGAAACTGCCTCGTACATATGGGACTCCTGGGTGGCTCAGGTGGTTAAGCTTCTGCCTTCGGCTCAGGTCATGATCCCAAGATCCTGGGATCAAGTCCTGCATCAGACTCCTTGTTCAGCCGGGAGCCTGCTTCTCCCTCTAACTGCTGCTCCCGCTGCTTGTCCTTAGTCTCTCTCTCTCTGACAAATAAATAAATAAAATCTTAAAAAAAAAAAAAAAAAAAAAAAAGAAACGTCTTCATACATAGAATGAGTAATTCTCTTCCCAAGGAGTTTAAGATGGCTTATACTAAGCCATTCCTGCTTCCCTTGAAATATTCCCTCTGTGCTATACCATTTTAATTTTCTTGTATTTCCCGGTTTTTCTTTGATGAGGCAAATTAATGGAGGAGAAAACCTCACCTTGATCTCATATTTGTCCGCACTTAAGAGTATGTAGTCTCCAGGGCTGTGCAAAAGAGACTTGACTTTACACTTTTGCAAAACCACCTAGAAATATAAACATCCATGTTACAGAATGATCCTTTTAAAACTATTTCTATCACTTTTTTATAAATTAAAATATGAAAAAGAGCCTGAAATGAGATGGTATGCTAGAAGAGCTAAGCTGTAATTCTATGACGTTAGCCTCTAGTTAGTACAAACAGATTCTCTATAATGTCAGCAGGATGTAAAATTGTCTAATGCTGGCGGCAGCATTTAATTTCTGCTTTAGTCTGGAAGCAAACATTAGAAATGATTTAAAAAAAACTGTAAAATGTGACTTTATAGCAAATGAGAGGAATAGGAAAGAAAACAGCCCACAGACCTAAAAGCAAATACGAATGATTTGTTTTCCTGAACAGATGCATTATAATGGAAAAAGCACTGGACTTGGGACCAGAATCTGCCATATACTGACTCTGTAACCTTGGGCAAGACCAGCCAGCATCTTTGTTTCTCAATTTCCTCATCTTTAAAATAGGGGATGAGGCATTTGTTATATCTCATAACTGAAATGAAAATGAAATAAAACCATTAAATGAGGATGATGATGTAATAAAAGCTAACATTTCATTAGTCCTTGGGATAGTCTGTAAACATTTAGTGGCTAGCTATTTTTGTAGTAAGTCAGAATCAAGTGAGAGGGAGGCCAAGCTCACTTCTTCAGTAGTCTGAGCTCCAGATTCAACTGAAACGGACAGACCTACTACACCCAGATGCCCTGCTGGGTCCTGTCCCATCATCTCTTTCAGAATTCACAGGAACATTTACCAGATGAAACTCAGGCCCTAAAGGGAGAAGTGACTTGCCTTAAGACATCACACAGTCAGCGTCCTGGTCCCAAGTCCAGTGTTTTTAACAAAACACGAGATTGTCTTATGTAACTTTTCCATTTAAATAGTCAATGTAAAAAAAAAAAAAAAAGAGAGAGAGAGATGCTTAAATAGTCAATGTGCCCAATACAGAACTGTGGTAAAAGATACATAACATAAAATGTACTATTCTCAATCATTTTAAGTGTACAGTTTAGTGATGTTACTGATCTTCTCACAAACCACCCTTTTAGCTCTGCCTATTTCAGAGAAACACATTCATCTACCTGACCTAAAACCCACTGGGTAGCTCTAATTCCTCCTTCTTTGTTACCTATGAGTCAGTAAGTTCATCTGGCTTTCCCTTAAAGACATACCCTTCATGTGTGCTCTTCTCTTTCTTCACTGCCACGTGGGTCCATGCCATAGGTATCTTTTGCTTAGATTACTGCAAAAGCCTACTTGGCCTCCCTGGGTCTGTTTGTGTTCCAACTCCAATCCATTTTTTACTTAGCAGTTATTTTCTTAAAACATAAATCACAGTTTCGTGCTGAGAACGCTCAACTGTTTCCTACTACACATATGACACCCAAATCCTTAACATGGCCAAGGAAGGCCTACACGATGGCCACCTCTTCCATACCACACCCAACCACAGCACAGCAGCACTGGCCTTCAGACCAACAAATGTTCTAGGATCTTTCCCACCCCAGGGCCTGGGCACATATCATGTACTCGGAAACACTGCACTTCACTCTTTATCTAGCTACCTCCAATTTCTTCTTCATGTTTTGTCCCTTCTCAAGCAGCTCTCCCTGAATGAATTAGATACCTTCTAGACATTTTCAGAGAGCACTGCACTTTGCCTTCATAGCACTTAACACCATTTGTAACTGTACATTTATTTGTGAAATTACTGTTTAATAACCATCTCTCCTACTGGGCTAATGTCTGTGTCAAGCCCAAGTCTGTTTTGCGCACTCCTCTATCCGATGTCCCATACAGGAAGGAATGGGAAGCTCAGGAAAAGTGTTTCTATATGACAATCCCATGATTAATACTGCATTTGATCCTCATAATCACCTTTTAAAAAATCCCATACATTTTTCTTTATCCCATTTCTTAAAACTATTATTTTTTCAAGATGAAAACTGCTTTCGTGATTCAAAAAGATACATGTTTATCCTAAAAGGAAAAATAGCACCTACAATTCCATAAGTAATAATAACCTGTAACATTTTGGAGCATTACACATATATTCAGAAATTGATATCATACTCTATAATGTAGTTTTTTGTCTATGACCTGTTTTATTTGTTCCCGCTACCCACCAAATACACTGTGGGCATTTTTCCATGCCCATGAGTCATTCATTTGTTAAACTATTTACCAATTGTCCTTTACTTGGCTGGTTGCTGTTGTAGGCCATCGTGCATTGTGGGTACATCTGTTCCATTTTAGGGCTCACCTACCACTTAACAAGACAGCACCTACCATCCTCCACCCCATCCACAGCTCCCTCACCCCTACAAAACCTGATGTCAAGGAGATTTCTTCTATAAGTCTTCCTACCTTGGTGACCCATTCCGTGTGCCCAGTGAGTGTATTCAGGCATGTCCCAGCAGATAGAGCCCATACTTTCACAGTGAAGTCTGCAGAGCCACTCACCAAGATATCCAGTTCATCATTGTAGTCAACGCTAAACACTAGTATATATAACATAAACAAAGTTAAAACATGCCCCTGTGAGGGTCTTTTATAACAGAGTTCAATCATGTTCATTCTCCTAGCTGACCAACTGTATAATTCTCAGCCAGAGATACTGTAAGAATGGTGCTACTCAAAAAATATATTCATTTCAAAATTCTTGTTATTATTACAGCTTATTCTTCTAAGGATGGAGCATCCCTGGAATGACACAATCTCTTATACTGTACTAGCTTCGAAGTGAGAGGTAAAACCAGTGCTGGAGATAATGGCATTCCCACTCAGGCCTGCCTGCCTGACACGCCACAAAACCAATCCAGCTCATGCAGGGAAAAAACAACATAGGTGGCCCTATTCAGATTTGCACTATTCTTCACAATGAGACAAAATGTCAAGAACAATACCCACGAGCAAGAAAAGCCAGTGTAATGAGAAAAACAAAACACACATAAATATCTCAAAGGTGAGACTAAGCCATTCTCTCCAACTATCTGAATTTCTTGAGGGGTGTACCCCCAGCACCTAAAACAGTGCCTGAGTACAGCAAATACTCAAACATTTGTTTTTAAATGCCTGCCAAACTCTAAAGGAACATTGGGGACCCAGAGATATACACTGGGCTTTTCCTTAAGGAACTCAGTCTAAGGGTAAAGGAGGAGTCCAAAAAATTTAAATGTTTACCTCTTGCTAGGGAAACACCAAGGAGAATGACTAACTCTGCCCAGGGGTATCAGAGAGGACTTCAGGGAGGAGGCGATATTGGAGATGGCCCTGAAGGATGAGTAGAGTTTATCAAGAAAAGAGAATATTGCAGGTAGAGGGAACAGCAAAGGCATGGAGTTAGGAAAAGCCATAGCAATGTCCAGGGAACAGCAAAGATGAAATTTTTTTAGAGCAGAGGTCGTGAAGTTGATCAGGTATAAAATCACCTGGAATGTACATCCTGACATACAGAACAGTACACTCAATTTAATATATACCATGCTAAATCATGTATCTTCCAATATTAATTTCTGTAACAAGCAAGTAGTAACAAATAGACTGAGGAAAAATGTTTAAGATGACAAACAAAATAGGGAAAAAATGGTTTTCAGCAAAATAGCTAGGTTCACTTCAAAGTATTACTGAGCACCAGACACAACAAAAGGAACTCAGGACCTAAGGGTGAATAAGACAGGCAGGGTCCCTGTCCTTTTGGCATGTAGAGCCTGGTGGGGAACTGGATTACCATACTCATTTGTATGCTGAGTATTATGACAAAATTCAGGTTATTGGGAAACCTACAGTAGAAGGGAGTCCAAGAAGACTGCTCATAAAACAGGATGCTTAAGATCATAGACTATGACTCTCCAGGTCTGAGGCAGTGAGTAAACAGAGAAAAGGAAGAAGGGAGCTGAGGCACAAGAAGATGGGAAATAGCTCAACATGATTTCTGCACAAGGCTCCAAAATACAGTGCAGCAGAGATTAGCAGCTCAGGTCTCAAGGCTATATTCAAATGACCAGTTTCTACACACTAGGCCACTATAAAACTACTAGGAATACTCAGGTATCTGTTTATCTTATCTCTAGGCACTGGTTTATTTTAATCAATTGTCAACCAAGATCCAACTCAACATAGTATGTGTAGATCATACAATCTGAGAACTACTGTCACTCCAAAGGATTTTCAGCCCTGATTCTACAAACAGAGTAGACTGAATTTACAAGTGTAGGACTTGCTCAATTTGGAGGTATGGAATCTGACAAAAGCAAAATGAACTGACTGTTCAACACGGTATAAATGAAATATGTCAAGGAAAACCATCCCCTCCCAGCACAAGGGTACACAGAAGAGTTTTGAAATACGCCACGGAAAAGCAAAATTCAGGAAAAAATTCCAAATAGGAATGCCTTAAGTAAAGGGATTAATGGCTATGACTAAGAAATAATAGGAGGGAAAGGCAGGTTAAGTTAAAAAACAAAAAGAAAACAAAACAGGGTCACATTCTTGGCTCCTGGTTTTAAGGAATGAGAGGTTAAAGTAACTGTAGAAACCCCTGAAAAAGGGCAACCCACCCGCCCCTGTGTGCCCCCGGAAGTGCTGGGTCCTGGCTCCGGAACTCCATTCCCAGCAGGCCACAGTGTTGTCAAAGGAGCCTGTCACAAGCTTCTGCTCATCAAATTTCACTGCTGCACAAGTGTGGGTCTGGATGCCATAAACACACTGTCCTGTGCTCACATCCCACAGTTTTGCAGATAAGTCATCTGACCCTTCAAGAGAAAAACAGGGAAGTTAGTAAGAAACCAAACACTAAAGAAGGAAAGTCAATCCGCAAACCATGGTATTCTTCAAGTAGAACCTCATGATCCCCTCTTCTAGCATTTCCACTTAATAGCTGAAAAAAGCAAAGCATGGGGAGGGTAATAACTCACTCAGGGTCACCAAAATGGTGTGAACAGCACAGGGACTGAATGCAGGCCTTCTGGTTTAGTCCTCTTTCCTTAACTTTCCAGGCACAGAGGAGTACTAGACAAAGCATCCCTTGGTGCTTGCACTTGCAAAATTTCATAAACCTTTGACTTTCACGAGCTTTCTGATTTGAGCTTGAAATGATGAGTATTACCTACGACTGCACGTATACATTTGTATGCCTACTCATGACCCAACAACTCTGAGCGAATAAAGAATGCTGAAGAGTAAACCTGTCTGCTGGAATATATTCTACTTTAAGATAAGTCAAAGATTAGCCACAGATCACAGGCTAACTTCTGCAAAAGCTAACTGCTATTTCCTTAAGCCATCCTGAAATCTGTAAAGGAACCTCTAGGAAAACCATGGATAAATTATTCCCACATTCACAACAACTCAACAATGAGCCTATAAAGCGTCTCAAGATTCTGCAGAAAAAAGTGGGTTTTATTTCCGCATCTGATCAAATTATACTGATCATGATGATAATTCAGGATTAGCTTTATGTTTAAAAGTCTAATGATTAAATCAGCCTCACAAACAAAAAAGTAGTAATAAGAATTATTAAAGACGTTTTGAAAATAAAAAAATACACTCACAAGGACACAGTATGCAGGAAAGCACTGAATCACTGGCTTTGGAAAAGATGAAATGACTAAATAAAACTGGCCACAATTCTACCTTTAAGGGCTGGTGGAAAGCCACTGTTTCACACAATGGAAAAATAACACTTATGAAAAGGGTAGAGCATGAATTTCAACCTGGACAAATGCTAGGAGAACACACTGAAATGAAGACTATACTTGCTGTCACTCTAAGTATTTAGAGACTCAGTTTCTTTTTTATAAAACAAGGGATGAGACTTGGTTAGTGCTCCTCAATGGTCATATGAGGCATCAGAATCATCTGGGGAGGGGCACTGGGCTGGCTCAGTAGGTAAAGCATGTGACTCTTGATCTTGGGGTGTGGGTTCAAGCCCCATGTTGGGTATACAGATTACTTAAAAATAAAATCTTTGGAAACAGCGCTGTCCAACAGAAACAAAATACAAACCACAGAAGTAATTCAGATATGTAATTTAAAATTTTCTATTATTTACTTTAAAAAGTAAAAAAATATATATAATTTCATTAGCCCAATGTATCAAAAATAAAATTTCAACACATAACCAATATAAAAAATTAATAAAATATTTTATATTCTAAATCCATTGAGTATTTCCCATTTCACATCTCAGTTTGGACTAGCGCCATCTCAAAAGCCTTATGTGACCTGTAGCTACTATCCTGGACAGTATGTCTAGATAATCTCAATTATACAACACTTAAAAATGGTTAGAATGATAAATCTAAATGTTCCATAAATGTGTCTTAGGAAGTGGAATAACTGGATCCTCAATCTTGTGTCTATTTTACCACAATTTGATAAAAACAAAAAAAAAGATCCTAATTGTTTAAATTAGTTTATATAGGAAAATATTCAGTTTTACACCCTAAAGAAATATCAGAGAAACTTGGCTTGATGTCAGTTCCATTTTATAGCGCTGCAAGTCTACTCTTCACTGTTAAGCCTTCAGGAGCCATTATTCTCCCCTCCTATTTAATTTTTATTTCAACCTTCCCTGTGGACTCCCATTTGCTGCACTGACTAGCAGCAGGTCATCAATGATGCAACCCAGAGATGAAAGGGGACTAAATAAATGAAGACTATTTTTCATTATATGAAAGAAGAAACAAGCCCTCTCTACACAGAAAAGATGATGAAAACAATACTTTGATATAAAAAAGTACAGGGATGGGTATATAACAAAAAGGTAAGCAGAAAATGGAGCTGTAACTCAAATGGAGTAGTAAACTACCGGATCAAGTGAAGTTTAAATATTTAACTGGTAGAATCAGATCTCAGCTCTCAGCTGCCTCTTGGGGGCATCTGACTCTGATGACTAAATGAACAAACACTTGCCACTGCCTCTTAATGACAGGCAGTTTTCAATGTCCTTGAAACTCTTCACCATTCTGCTTCGGTACCTCTTCCCCCTCTAAGTACGCTCTTCAAGGATCCATCCTAGGCTACATTCTTCTTCCCCTCCAACTACTTTTAAAATCCCCCTGTTCTAGGGGCGCCTGGGTGGCTCAGTGGGTTGAGGCCTCTGCCTTCGGCTCAGGTCATGATCCCGGGGTTCTGGGATCGGGCCCCGCGTCGGGCTCTCTGCTCAGCGGGGAGCCTGCTTCCTTCTCTCTCTGCCTGCCTCTCTGCCTACTTGTCATCTCTGTCAAATAAATACATAAAAATCTTTTAATAAATAAATAAATAAATAAATAAATAAATAAAATCCCCCTGTTCTAGCCATAGCCGTGACGTGACTAACCCCTCAACCTTTTGCTCTTGCCCTGAGCTACTCCCGAAGCTCTGATGTTGCATTCCAGATACCTACGGATCTCCACTCACATCCAGCTACGTTAAGTTCATCCCAAATTTGACTCCCTCTACACTCTCTATTCCTTCATTTCCTATTCTTGTTACTAGTACCACCAACTTCCCAGGTGTATATATAGCTAGAAATCCCAGTTATTTTTAAATTAACCCTTTCCTCGCCACATACTCAATCCATTCCAAAATCCTGTCAATTCCATTTTAATGGCGGCTCTTCCATTTAACTGCTCCTTTAAAAAATCTCTATCCTTACTGTTCTATATCTAAATCTATTTACTCTTACCTAAACTGCAACACACTAATACTTTTTAATTTTTATTTATTTTTTAAATTTCTTTTCAATGTTCCAGAATTCATTGTTTATGCACCACACCCAGTGCTCCATTCAATACGTGCCCTCCATAATACCCACCACCAGGCTCACCCAACCTCCCACCCCTTGTCCCTCCAAAACCCTCAGATTGTTTTTCAGAGTCCACAGTCTCTCATGGTTCGTCTCTACCCTAATACTTCAATTTAGAAACTCTAGTTCTGTTTACTCTTACCTAAACTGCAATACTCTAATACTTAAATTTGGAAACTCTACATTTGTCAATGCCAGAGGTCTCTAAAGAAGTAGTATCATCTCCTAAGGGAACATTTTAGAAATGTGCAGGAGTGTTTTCAATTGTCATTAATGATTTTGGGGAAGAGGGTGAGGGGCATTACTAGCCTCTGCCGGGCAAAGGCTGAAAATGCTAGACATCATGGAATGTTTGGGACAGCACACGAAAAGAATTGTCTCGTATTTTGCATGACCTCTTAAAGATTCTGCCCGATATTCCTAAGTAAAAAGCTTATCTTTAGTTGTCTGAGCCTCAGACCTGTTTTACAAAGCATGGAATTTATTCTAAATTTTTAGAGTATACCAGGTAGATTGAGAAAAAATGTATTTTGCTTTCTTGGGGACTTTGCTAAGAGTTTTTTCACTGCTTGAGGCCATACCACTGATGGTACAAATACAACACACAGCACTTAGAGCCGTCATGTTCATGACAACAGTACATACACAGGTGCAAACATCTCATTACACTTCTGTCTTCTAGCACAGCTGGGCTTGAGCAAAAATGTTTAATGTGTATTATTTTAAATTACTATCTTTTTATTTCTGCTCTGGATCAGCATTTAGGTATTACATTAACTTTCTGAAATACGTGCATGTGCAGTAAGTTATTTCTATGAATTTTAGTTTAAGGTAAGATAATATTACAAAATACATTATAAGAAGAGGACCTGGGTCTGATAGAAATAAGAAAAACTGGCCCTTTCTCAGCTCAGAAAACTTTCATATTTTTTTCTTCCTACTCACAGAAAACCGTCCAAACTCATGTTCCCAACATTTAAGGTTTTTATAATATACCTCAAGCCAATTCTCCAGCTTATATTCTAAGAATCTCACAGGGTCCCTACTTATATCCTGAGATCAGCTAAAATGAATGTTCTTTATTTTTCTCCTATAAGCTCCACACTTAGTCCTTTCCACACTTTTGCTAATGTTAATGCTGAACTTCCTACTGGAAAGCACTTATTCTTATCTCTCTAAAATCCACCCACTTTCCAAGATTCAACATAAACACTACTCAATTTTTGAAAATGAAGGAAAGCACTGCTTCCTCTGAACAATTATATGATTTGTTCTCCTCATATAATTCAACTGTATCATTTGATCACACATCTTTTATAGCTATTATTTTTCTTATTCAACTATAAGCCAAGGTCACACTAGAGCAGCCTGCAGACTCAATATAACCCAACCACTATTTTTAAAATGTGAATAATACTTAAATGTGAATAATACTTAAAAATCAGCACACTAAAAAACAAACAAAAAAAAAACCACTAAAAAAAAAATCAGAATATTGCACAGAAATCTAGATTTGGGACTTTAAGTATCAGATCTGATCACTCTAAGCTTAAATCCCATATGGCAATAATTTACTACAGTGGAGTAGCTGCTACCCTCTCTAAAAGGGCAAGTGCTTGCTCTCTCATAGTCTACATGGAGACTTCTACCTAATCAGGTTACCTTCCTGATCCCACTGTGCACGTTCTCTTGAGCAAGAACTGTCCTAATTCATCCATGTATGCCTTCACATTGTCTTTCACATGGAAGTCATTTTATATATATCTACTGAACGGCACAAAGCACAACAGGTTCCTTTCTTATAATTTTAGAACTAAGCAGAAGGGTAACTTCCTAATTCACTATGCTATGTTAATTTTTACTATCAGCCATCAATCTTTTTGGCAATACTATTTTATTGCTTGTTCAAGGGGCTAATCTAAAAATGTCAACTGTAAACTTACTGCCAAATTCAGAATTTCCCAATTCTACCATGGAGAAAACACGAGCTCTTCAGTAACAGCAGGGAACAAACACATGTATGATTGTATAACAAATACTTCTCTCACTGGTTACGGTTCCAGAGATGCTGCTATTAGAAAAATTAAACTAATGCTTTGGATTATTTTCAAAAGACAGAGCAGAATTTTCAATATGCAAACCTGATGAATTTAATCAGAATAAAAAATACAAACTATAGAGCAACCTAGAAAATAACCTTAAAGTGCAGGGTTGGGTTCATAGTTATTATAGATACTAACTTTCCAGGTAGTTAAAGAACTCAGTGAATGTGTCCCATTCACTTCTGCTTCAAATAACTAATGCAGTTTTACTACATTTCCAAAGTAAAGTTTGATGAGAGTTTTTTGGTTTTTTTTTTTTAAGCTCAATGTGGCTCTGAAAATGAGTCAACTGGCCAGTACTTACCTAAGTACAAATGAGCACAAATCTCAAAGGCAATACTGCATCTTAATCTTTAAAAACTACCTGCCACTGATTGATCCTAAGGCAAAAAGAACACAGAAAAGCTATCACCCCAATGGGAAAGTACATCAAAGTATAAAAGAACAGATGATGCCTTTCCAATAATCTGACTTATAAGACAGGGAATAACATGAGCACGGGTAACTTTCGGATGACAAACGAAACCACGAAATGCCTTAAATTTAATGTTTATTTTATAAAACTGGCAAAGTATCTAGCATTTCAGAGAATATATCACATGAGAAAATATATATCCTTGAGAAATCATACATCTCAAAAATGTTAAAATTGAGTTTGGTGGAACTCTCAGAGACAAGGAGGGTTATTTAAAACTTTGCTGTGGCCAAGGCACCAATTCGATCTCTCTGGAAAGGACAGTAAGAGGAACTTTAAAATCATTCATATTCCTGGATCTGTGATTCTACTTTAAGGCTTCTGCCCCAAGGAAATAATTCAAGGGAAAAAAATGTAAACAGAGATATTCATAAAAATAGAACCACCTAAATATGCATTAACATTGAATTGGCCAAATAATGGTGACATATTTACACAAAGGAACAGTATATGCTATTTAAAAAGGCAAATATATACTTAGGTAAAACTCAAATGTCTATTAGAAATTATCTTGGGGAAAATAAATAAATAAATAAAATAAAAAATAAAAGAAACTATCTTGGGGGGTGTCTGGATGGCACAGTTGATTAAGCATCTGACTCCTGATTTTTGGCTTTGGTTGTGATCTCAGGGCTGTGAGATTTGAGCTCTGTGTCAGGCTCCATGCTCTGTGGAGTAAGCTTGAGATTCCCTCTCCTTCTTCCTCCCGCTTCTGCTCCCTGTCTCTCTCTCATAAATATTTAAAGAAGGAAAGAAATTATCTTGAATGAAGAAAGAACAGCAAGTGTCCCTAAATATTATATACAATGAAAGTGAACAGGCATTGGGATCATTGATAAAAACTACCTGGAATCATTCTAGACATTGCCTAAGAATTATCTACAATGCCTATCAAAATGTATTGCCTAAAACATATGCACTGATTATAAGTAAAAGCATACGCCCCTCATAATTAAAAGATATACATAATTCCAAATTTTAATGATAATTTTATTTGTTATATAGTCACTTAATTGCTTAGGGTTAAAATATCTAACTTCCATGTGCATACTCTTCTAAGTCTTCTTAGAACCACAGGAATTTACAGCAAAAGAGAAATACTTCCCTTCCCATATTAGACAGACAGGGAAACAAACACACAGAGGTTAAGTAATTCTTCCAAGATGACCTAACTACTTGCTAGGTCTAGACACCAACTTTTCCACTGATTTTTCTCAAAAAATACTGCTCACAGAAAAAAAAAAATTTTAACCAATGGAGAACTGTACATGGAAGGAAAAAGCACTGAAAAAAAATAGTTACAGCTTTCTGATTCACATCACATTTAAAAAAGAATGTCTGGAGCTTTCTTCTCATACAATTTTATAAAAATGATTTGTTTTCTAGAGGGAAAGAGGAAAGGGTTAGGGATAGGGGAAGGCAGAATGCCACTATAGATATCTCATATAATTAATCTTGCCATTCTCAAGCCTAAGGAGTAATTTTTTTCTGTTTCTAAAATTATACCCTATAAAATACAAAACAACAACAAAACAGTTCCAGGGTCTCTTACCTGTACAGAGAAGTCCATCTTTATAGTAAAGTGCATACACTCTGGCACTGTGTCCAATTAATGATGAGGTCTCAAAGGCTTCATGGTCCTCCAGTTGCTTCATTCTCAAAATAGCCTTCAAATAAACCTTCTTCCAGTGCAAAGCGTCCTGAACAGAATCATCTATCTGCCAGCCCAAATTTTTACACGCAGTCTGCCACACCTCTGTACAGGCACTTATCACCTTATTCCACTGTTTAGAGACGAGGCAGCATGTGAGTAAAGTCTGAGGATCAAGCCATTTTAACAAATAAAAACTGAGCTCCAGGGGAAGGAGTTTGAGGAAGTCCCGCTTGAGGAGAGTCTCCAGGTTATTGGAGAGATGCCTGAGCTGGACTGCCCCACTCAGACTAATCAGGTGATCCAGAGTTTCATTTTTCTGCAAGTCCGTCAGAGAAAGAAATGTAACAGAAATGTTATCAAGCCATGTCTCAAAGTCCTTTCTCTCCATAAGGTTATGGAAAAATTTACCTGTGGCACATCAAAATATTGTATTAGTTCTGCTCAAAAAGACTGTTCAAGCAAGACTGCTAACAAATGAAAATTAGTGTAAAAAACTTGGCATTACAACTTTATGCTTAGTTACCACATTACAATTTTACAGTAAATATATTCCATCTGAAAATCTTCCATGCACGCAGAGGAAAATACATACTGAGAAAACATACTTTAATAAATCATGATCTCTGAAACCCAAGTCAGTGAGACTTATGTAGGTGTGACTTGCTCCTTTTGAAGTCTAGCACATGCTACATGCATCTTCACAGTAAAAGATTTACAAAGTGTTCATTATAAAATAGCTTATTCTATGTAATATACTTCTCCCCACCCCATCACCCATTAAAACCTTTATAACACGGTTTACTTAATACACTCTATTTGGGCACTAAAATCACAAAAACAACCAGAAGGCAAGTCTCCTGAGCAGTAACTAGACATTTTAGTTATCATGCTAGGCACAGCCTGACCTGTTACCAAAATCACAAAGCGGACTACTGGCTTTGCGATAGATGTTCAGACAAAAAGGTTTAGGGAAGAAACATAAGCAGATGTCATAAGTTACATGGCTCAGGTATTCTGGTTCTTCTACTTCCTTTATGGCACAGCCTGTTAGAACATGAATTACTAAAGGCCTTACATGGCCTTACATAGTTTTTATAAGCCTCATATGAGCTGGTGACAACTCCTAACCATGTGCCACACAGAACAGTGAGGGTCAAGGAAGCCTCACAAATAAGTCCAATTAGTAATCCCGATGCTTCGAAAACACCAATAAATCAAGAAGCATCACCTCTCCTTTGCAGGGGAGGAAGTTAAAAGTCAGAGAAAGTAAGTGATTTTCCTACAGTCAACAGAGCTATCAAAATAGCATCAGAACAACCGGAGGTCAGTGCTCTCACCATCCGTACTCCTCCAACCACACCAAACTGTCTCTCTCTGATGACAGCCACAACCAGGAGAATCACAACCCGGTTATAAAATCTGGAGGCACTGTGACTATCTGATGATAGCACCTTCTCCTTTAGGAGAATGACAAATTGCTCCCGGACTAAACGGAACAGAAAAAAACCTTACAGATACACAGCATTGTGTCAAGGTGTCAATCCACTTTTGACAAAAGGGACTAAACTAATGAAAAGTAAACAAAAAATAAAGCAAATCCATAAAAACATCTTTCCCAAGGTTGGCTATATGTTGATAGATGTTGGTGCTGAATGATCGGTACACAGAGGTTTTTTTATCCTTTTTATTATTATATGTTTAAACATTTCCATAATTAAAAAAAAAACCTTCCTTCTATCTGATCATTTATTCTCCAACCAGATGACAACCAGATTGTCATACTAATTTTAAAAATTTATATCTAAATTTATGTGGAAGAGGAAAATAAATTCCTTCCCATATATGTCATCTAGGTCAAGTCTACGTCAAAAGCCAGATCTCATTTTCCAACTCTGTTCATGTAGGTCAGTAAAAATCATTTTCATTAATTTCTCAATATCAAATTTGGCAAGAATGTTATTGGACACCAAAGAGTAAAAGCAACCAAACCTTCCAATCATATTATCTCCTAACAGTTTGGTTTTGGGAACAGTGAATGAACTTCAAAATAATACTCCAGAATCCTCAGGGTTTGGGCTAGGCAGGATTTTTTAGTTCATGGATTTACTTGGCAGCCAAAAAATAATCAGTTCACCAAAAGTTTTATCAACAAAACAAGCTAACAAGCTTCCTCTTTCTGAATCCAAACAACATTCTATCTGTAACATTTCTGGAAATTTTTTACGTTTAAAAAACCACTCATAGCAAGTCAAAACAATCCTTTTCTGTGGACACTCACAAAATGTCACAAAATCTAATTAATTAATACTGGCCAATTAGAAACATATACCAAAACATCTACCCAGGAATAAGTGTGGAGGACTTCCTCTCTCACACCTACACACACAGAAGTATCCACACATCCATCACAGAAATGCTTATTTCTGTTATAAGAAGCTGAATTATTATTTAAATGACTACAAGGCAAATTTATAATACCCATGAAAATGTTATCAGGTTTCCACCATTGACAAAAACTAAGAGACATCCTACAGAATACCAAGTTAATGTAGTCATGACACCACAGAAGATTATGGGACAAACTTTCCAATGAGCACCTTTAAAAAATTCAGCCATTTCTGAGATTCAGATATTCTCTTAACCCCTAGTAATTTTTTACCCAACTCTGCACTATTACAAAACAAAACAAAACAAAACAAAACAAAAACCACCAGTTTTTACTCTTCTAACAAAAAATCAACTGACTTTGGAGGGAACTTTCTTAAGGTCACAGGTCTAAAATGAACCTTTTTGGAGAGCCTCTAGGAATATCATGTACTCCTGCAGCACAAGGCCCAAACAGGACAACTTCAGGAAGAAGGATTTCAATTCAACAGGAGCTTCCCAATAACATAAGGGCTGTCTCCAGAACGCTGTGCGATTCCCATTGCTGGGAAAGTCAAAGACAGTGGAAACAGAGGCAGAATGAGGTAGTGAAAATGCCCTGGAGTCAGTCAAATCTTCTACTGATTCAGCCACTTCCTATGGGATTATGGGCAACTCTGAGACCAACTTCTAAACTTCAGTCATCTGTAAAATGGAAGCTATCACTCACTTTGAGAGTTTTTCATGAAAATCAGAAACAGGGCCAGAACATCCTTAACACACAGTCTGAAGTAACTCACATGGTATTTTTCTTAGTTTTATCACTATGAATACCTGCCAGGAAAGCTGATAGTAGCCCTAAGGCTGGAAAACATAGGGCTACCAACATCCCTTTCGACCCTATGACCCTAACCATAAAATTTCCCTTAAAATGCCTTACAACATATGAAGGAAAAACTCGACGGCTCAAACTTACTGAGATTTAGTTTTATAATTAAGGGCAGTTATTGACTTGAGGCTAGAATTTCCCACTAGGTGCATTTTTGTCTCTACCCACACTTCATTGTGTCTTGCCCTCCCCTGCCCGCACTTCAGATTAAACATTAAACCTGCCCTTCTGCCCTCAATATTAACAATCACTAAGGCTCCGAAATGGGTGGCGTGATGAAGACACCTAAACTGGAAGATGGGAGGTCTAGGTTTGATCTCTAGCTCTGCCATTAGCTCTCTATGTTCCCTCAGGCAACTCTCATATTTGTATTGGTTTAAAAGACTCAAGTACTACTCACAGACATTACCTCATTGGATTATCAGAACTTCATGGAAAGTAGCAGTACTACCGCCCTTAACGAATAAAATGAGGAAATGTATGGCCTAAGCAGTGGAGTGACTTTCCCAGGGTCCCATAGGAAGCACCTTAACATCTTTCTCAGCCCCTACCCCCTCGAAACAAAACAAAACTATACCCCTAGGTTTTATTGGAGACAGCCATTCTGGATAAAACATCACATGTGTGTTTTCCTCTTCTCCACCAGGACCTGGCCTAGTTAAGAACGAAAGCAAGACATTTGTTGTCGGAGAGGAGGATTCATCTTCCCTGTTTTCTTATCAAGCACTATCAGCAGTTACAGTACAGAGGTTCTGAAAACATGTTATTTATAAACATACACATGCCCGGTATCTTTTGAATATCAAGAAGCTGGGAACCCTGGTTGCCTCCCGGGAAAACTGGAGAGCTAAGGAATCGGAGCGAGGAGCTCTTTCTTGAATTTAAAACCATGTGAATATACTATTTACTTTAAAACCGCCTTTAGGGGGCCCTGGGTGGCTCAGTGGGTTAAAGCCTCTGCCTTCGGCTAGGGTCATGATCCCGGGTTCCTGGGATCGAGCCCCGCATCGGGCTCTCTGCTCAGCGGGGAGCCTGCTGCCTCCTCTCTCTCTGCCTACTTGTGATCTGTCAAATAAATAAATAAAATATTTTTTAAAAAATAAAATAAAACCGCCTTTAGGTCTAAGATAAATAAAAGCAGCTCGGAAAGAAACAGTGTTAAATACAGGCTCTGCAACTCCACCTGTTGCTGAGTGACCCTGGGGAAATCACTTCACCCATCTCAAGTTGAGTCTCTTCACTTGTAAAATGCAACCACGCACAGCATCCCGTACAAGGGTTTTTTGTGAGGATTAAGTCGGATAACGCACGTAAAGCGTTTAGCACAGTACCCGACACACTGTAAGCTTCCAAGAAATGCCAGTTACCATTATTATTCAGCATTAATATTGTTATCTGTATCTCAAGCGGCACCCCACATACACACCTGTTTCCATCGCACACCCACAACTATGGCGCAGTCCCTCACATTAATACAGCGCTTTGTACTTCATAAACCACCTCGCCACACTTCATCATCTTTCAAAGTCATGGTAGCCCTGGAACATCATTGCTAACTCATTTCGCGGCTAAGGAAACTGAGCAACTAACAGGCAGTAACTCCGAGACTCAATTTTCCCATCTCTAAAATCAACTCCAGATCCCTTCAACCCGTTCGTCGTTCCCAGGTCCCCCGCTTCCAGAGTCGTGTTCCGCGCAGCACTGACCTGAGCGAGCGCCCCGGGGCCCAGGACCTCGCGCCGGGCTCACACCGACTAGGCGCGCTCGGGCCGCCAGAGCCTCGCAGCGGCCGGGTCCGCTCCGCAGCCATGGCGCCTGCAGAGAAAGAAAGACAAACCGCCCGAGGCGCGGCTGGTCAGCAGAGGCGCGGGCGCCTGAGAACCCCCTCCTCGGCCTGACCCCGCCTCACATACAGACCTGGACCAGCGGCCGCCGCTCGGGGTCTGCAACCTCACAGGGGAGCGGCTTCCGGTGCTGCCTGCGTCATCTCCGCGCGTCCCTCCGCCCGTGGCGCCCAGCGGACGCGGGTGCACTTCCGGCCCCGGCCTCCGGGGGAAGCGGGCTGACCTGGGAGAGCGCGGAGGGAGGGGGGAGCGTGCGCTACAGCTTAGGCTTGTGGACTCTGGTCCTAAAGTTATTTTTTGCTGTGTATCGGGGATGTGTCTCATCCGACCTGACCTTGCCCCGTGTTGCCCTTTTTCTTATCCTTTCTTTACGGAGGAGAGGCAGGAAAATTTCAGAGACGTGTCCGAAGTCAAACAGCCCATTGAGTCACCGGTTATTTCCCAAACACTGTTCTGGGAGATAGGGTTAATGAGCGAAAAGCACAAAAATAGGGACCGCCTGGGATTTACGTCCTAGCGAGGGAGGCAGACAGATAAATAACTAAGCAAGGCATGTGCAAGTCTTAGCAAGTGCCAAGGAGAAAAATTAAGCAAGTTAAGGGGATTGGTGAGCGAAACAACAGGTGATCTAGGTTCGAATCCCAGTTCTTACACTCATGCTGTGTC